TCAGCGTTTTACCTGGTCATATATATAGTTACATCAGCGTTTTACCTCGTCATATATATTGTTACATCAGCAATCATATTCTCAAACTTAAATCTAATTCAAAATCAATATCAAATTACTCACATCATCAATGTCATCATCGTCTCCATCAAAGTTATTCTGGAACTCAATTTCATCTTGATTATCTTCATCAAAGAGGTTGTCGTTGAGTTTGGCTGCAAAGTATTAAAGAAAACATATAGATGTAATCACAGTGTCCCTCCCCAGCAATTTTAGTGAATACTTCTGCATTTCTTTATCACAGATATAAATCAATATATGTCTGAGGAAGCACTTTTAAAGTCAATATCACTCTCAAATATGAATCTTATCAAAAAAGTTTGAAAAATAATATTTATTACCTACCTAACAAACATGACTTTTTGCTTGGTCTAAGCCAAAAGAAAGCATTAAGCCAAAACCCAAGAAAAATTTGAAGCAAAGATCTAAGCAAAATTTTACATTTTAGTGTAAGCAAAAATACTATTAACTTTTTGGTGACATCAGAAATTAGTCTAATCAGTTGGCTAGACTGCTTATCCAGGATACAAGGGTGCACAGCCCGATACTAGCTTTGATTCAGACAGCCTTGAGCAACCAGTTCTACTGTTATTGTTCAAGTTGAAACCTGCAGTACAGTATGTGAGAAAAGATGATTGATATTTTTATGGTACATGTATAGGATATATGCAGGCTACAAATCATACCAGATTCTGGAAGTTCTCCATAAGCTTTCAGATTTCTAGCTTCATCTGGTGTGTATTTCAGGATGACATCAGCCTTTTGGTCTTGGTAATCTCTTAGTCCCAGTAGGATGATGTCTCCAGCATTTATCCACACCTAGAATAATTTTCAGAAATTAATATCTTCTAAATCTTGACTTGTGTTAATATTGTTGGTGAAACGACCCTGAAGCTAACATTATTAATAGTAGGATGTATTCGTTTCTGGTTGTTAAGAGAGCAGGCAAGTTCAGCCATGGCAAAATTCTCACAAAGCCGGAAATCAGCTAGAACTCAATTTAAAATGTACATGGGGCGATTATGCATTATATATTTACATTCTTGTCTGCATGATTTCAAAATAATATTTCATTAAAAGTACCTTTTTTCTCAGCTTTCCTCGGATGTGACATAACCTCTTCACTCCATCAAAGCAAAGTGCCTCTAATCGTCCATTTCCCAACATCTTCGTAACTTGTGCATACTCTGTAGAACAATGCACATTGAAAGTAATAATTGTATTTTGATTCCAATTAATTAAATTTGTTTGATAAATATGTCTATAATTGACCTGATGTACTCATGTAAATAAATACCAGAAAAGTAAACTATTTGCTATCCAATTACTCTTAGAATTTAGATAAAAACACCATTGACAACAGATCTATGAATTTGACATCATAGAACATTTTATTGATCAGTTTTACTGATATATTTAGTGTTCAATAACATGAAATAAAGAAAATATGTGTTTTATAATAAAGGAAGACAAGAGATTTCATTTACTACTTCAATGTATACATCTTAATCATTGAATGAAATTTATCATAGGAAATTATTGAATTAAATGACTAAAAAACACCTTGGTCTATGAAGTAAAGCTTTTCCAATAGGCATACAGTATTTTTCATGGTGGTTGTCTACCCCCCCCCCCCCCCCCC